CTTGACCCCCACTATCTCAACAGGTAATAGGACGAGAATGAAGTCTATGGCGTCTGTCGGTGTGGTACGTAGTCTGCCTGTAATGCAGATGCAACCTTTGATCAGGTCGAGCTTCCTGCTGTCTTCCACCAGCTGTTTGAGTAGCGGTTGCGAGAGGAGGGCGTCTTGGTCGTGGCCTATATATGCCGAGCACACCCTAAGAGGACCCTTTGGGCTCTCTATTGCTGCGGTAACGTTGTCCTCGTTGCTGAAATTAGGTAGCAAAAAGATGCTATGGTTCATTTTTGCGAGGATCGGGCTTGCCTTTTATTTGTTGTGTCGGCCTTCCAGAGCCCAATCCTGTCTCCAAGGATCCAGGGTTCCTCGATGAAGGCTACATCAGCTCCACTCTCGGCGAGGTGGAGTAGGAGGGCAGCTGACGCCGCCTTACTGTGGTGGAGGTTTATCTGCAAGATTGTTAGACATTCTTAAGATTCGCCACCACAGTAACCTCTGCTTCCGTCTCGGGGCTCAACAGAGAGTCCGCTCTTCTCTGAGGTGTACCCTTTCAGAACGTCTTCCTCCTCTTCCGACATTCCTTCCGGGTGCCCCTATTCGGTCGGCTCCTCCAAGTCTAGCTCTTGTGCGTCTGCCTCCAGCTCGATACCTCCTGTTTTGTTCTTTGCATCGGATTTGTAGATACGGGCGTCACGTGCTCGAATCCGTATTTGATCCGGTGCTCTAATCTTTCCAAGGCTTTCACGGTCTCCTCTTTGAGAGTGAGGATGACCCGCCTTCGCAGTCCTACCGCCTCCTCGACCTTGGCGACTCTCTAGTCCGCCGTTGGAAGCGTCGGATTGCACATCCTAAGCGTCGTCTGGATGGTTTTAGGATCGGCTGGCTTTTCTGTGAGCCATTGGGATCTCTTTGGATCTCTCTTAGTCAACTGCCACCAGCTTTGCTCCGGGGTAGTTTTCCCCAAGCGATGCTACCATTCGCTTGTACCATAAGTCTCTACCGATCGCGTGTCTTTTCAGGCAATTACCTTGCGCCTTCTCATTCTTTCCTCCGCTCTTTAGCATCGCCTCCACGAAGCGTCCATGCAACTCGTTTACCACTCGTCGCCAAAGGTTCTTGGGAATGATCCCAACTTTGAATCCCTTGTCCAGGACTCCAATAAGGGTTCTTCCCTTCGTCACTTCGGCGAGCGGTTGGATGGCTGCGGCTGGGCCTTCCTCTTCTTGGCTTGGAGATGGCTGCGGCTTGGCCTTTCCCTTCTTGGCTTGGAGGGCTCCTCCCTCCGTTGATCTCTGCCTTTTCGCACTCTGCGCGATCTCCTTGGCAAAAACCAGCGTGGTTTTTCTCTAGTCTCACACCCGCCTTTTCCGGATGAAAGTCGGGCAGTATCTCCCTTGCTTACTTTATAATCTCGGCCGGGTTGGCTTCTGCCGATGGGTCCGCCCTCATTAAAATGAAGGCTACTCTCCTATCTTTATAGGAGCCTTTCCGCTGCGTCGAGTGAGCTACCGGACCATGGTTCACCTTAGGGGCCCCGCCGGTTGGTTTAGAGGTTGACCCTGGGGCCTTTCTTTCCACGCCGTTCGGTGGCCCCATGGCTAGCCCCGCTTTAGAACCGGTTGCCTTGGCATCCTCCTCCGCATCGGCGCGTCCCGCCTCCAGATGTTGCCCCTCTGTCGGCAGCTTCTTCATTCCAGCCACTCCTTGGCTTTTGAGGGCCTTGGAGTTTGACGGGTCACTGACCCCATTTCCGGACTTTTTTAGGAAGCTCCGTTCTTCACTATGGTTTTTTGGTTGGTTAAAGAATTCTTGTTTTGGACCCACGAGTAGGTGGGAAAAGGTACGTCCATCATGACATAGCCCGATTGTCACAATAAGCCTGGTTACAACTGGGGGGTCGGCCGGTCTCCCAGTAAGCATTTGTCGCGGAAATGAATACTAAAACTCCTTTTGATTCCAGGGTTAGATATCCAAACCGCAGTTTCAGGCACGTGCTTAAAAATTCCATAATAGATAGTCAGTAATAGATAGTGAAAAATGAAATAGTTGCATTTTGTCGTCAGATTCTATAAAACAGCCTTTACCTAGGTTTTCCTTAATCATCGTTAATATAAAAAAACTTATTGGACACAAAAAATATGAGACATTATAGACCACACAGAAAATTGACTCTGTGTGTCATGATATTATCCCTTAAAATCTTAAATACAGCGGAAAATATAGAAAGAAAGAAAATACAAAAAGAAAATACAATTTACAAAATCTCTTGAATATGATCTACCAGGCATTTGGAGAAAGTTATGTTTTTAAAAAAATAGTTTCGAGAATACATAACCGGAGCCACCTTTGCTCCGTCCGAAAGACGATAATCAAGAAGAAACGCTAAAAAGCTACTTAAGCGGAAAAATTAATTGATTTTTGACGTATTTCAAATTACCTGAGATTGAAACCATTGAAACATTGAAACGGGTGCTAAGATTTACAAAAAGGGACTGGTCCAACAATGGCTTTTGGAAAATAGTAAGATAAACTATTATATATATATTATATCGATATATTCGATGATGAGATAAGATTTATCACAATCTTCTCCTATTCTCGCGTCATTTAGTCGTATCTTGTATATTGTGGGTATGAATCCGTTCTAAGTTATACAATTCGAGTTTTTTGACTGGCCATAGCGTGTCTGTTTTATACAGATACGGCGGTCTTTTAAACCATCTTGATCCTCCTTTGAAATTTGATTCCTTGGTCCCTTTTTGGTCCTGTCACCTGCAACGTTCATCGATGACGGAAACCATCTCCAAGAGCCATCTCCGTTTGAAGACAAAAAGAAGTGGACAATTAAAAAAACCTTTCAAATGACATAAAGTATGTTTTGGTAGCTACACTACTTCTTCCTTCCTAGATGACTTCTTTGAGGGTCGCCGGATGTAGCACGGACCAGACGGGTATGTAAGTTTTTAAAAAAGACTATTTTTGTCCTTCCATCTAAATAGCTGGAGATCCACGTTAAGAGGTCTGTAGAAAATCCCAGCATATTCGGCTTACTCAGCAAGAGTGAGTGATCAAATGCTGTGCTAAAGTCTGTGTAAATTACATCGGTTTGATATCCCTTACTAAAGCCATTTATGACAAAGGATGTTAACTGGAGCGACGCTTAATAAAGCCATGCTGCCAAGGAGGGATGATCGAAAAGCAAAAGTGTTGCAGATGAGCAGCAATTAATTTTCTAAATAACTTTGGATTTGACAACAATTTAGAGATACCTCTGTAGTTGGCAGCACCGGGCTTTTTTCCTTTTTTATGTAAGGGAATTATGAAAGATTCCTTCCACATAAGGGGAAAATCGAGGTTTCCAAAGATAAGTTGAAAAGTCTTAGAAGAGGTTTGCACAGAGCCCTGGCACAATATTTTAGCACACAGCCAGGCACTCCATCAGGGCCTGGCGAATAAATGGGTTTGACCCTTAGAAGATCAGATAACAAGCTATTTTCGGAGAAAAACTGACAGAAAATAAGATTAGCTGATTGAATGTTGTATGCATAAGGCTTATCTGTCGATTTAGGCGGAGACTAAGTTGTTTGAAAAAATTCGGCAATGGAATAGAACAAATTCGGGAATTTATCGACAATGGCCTAATCAGAGGTCGCAGACGAATTTTCAAACGTAAGCAGTGGTGGGAAAGATACATTTTTACGCTTTGTGTTTACAAAATTACAAAACTCGGATCCTGAGTAAATTTTATACGGCAGCAACGAATATAATTCCTGTAACATTCAGCGTTAGGCACGGTTAAATTTGACCGAGCTAGTAGATATCTTGATAAATCAATACTACTGCAGTTTTTTTTATATTTCAGTAAGAGCCTATTTTTAGTATTCTTTAGGTTAGTGAGGCACCTTGTAAACCAAGGAGGATTTGTTGAAGCGGACGGATTTTGCCATGGCACACAGGAGTCAAAAAATGTATTTAAAGTACAGTAAAATTTTTCTAAGGTGACATTAAGATCGGTGCATGCCAGAATATGGGACCAATCATATGTATCTATAAGGCTATTAAGTTTGTGAAAATCAGCTTTACGGAAAAAGCGAATCTTATTTGTCACGCATGAAGGCATCCGATCGATACCAGGAATGGTTTCGATAGAGACCAATTTATTTATTCGGCTTCAAGTATACCACAGCACATGCGAAGCGATGCGGTTTAAGTTTAAACTTAAGATTCTCAATAAGTTCAAATCACAAGCTAGTAAACACCGGATTACAAATATTTAGAAACGCAGTGCGCACAAAAAACACGACCGTTCGCTTAAGAGGAAGAGAGAGAAGTTAAAACTGAAGTTTCTCAAAAACTTCGATTCTTTAAAAACACCAAAGTTATAGAATTTCCAATCAATCAGTTATATGGCAGCTATAGGATATAGTCGGCCGATCCGATATGTGCAGTTTCAAAAGTCGATAGGCTTAAAACTGAGAGACTAGTTCGCCTAGAAACAGACACACGGACGGGCATGCTCATATCAACTCAGGAGGTGCTCCTGATCAAGAATTTATATACTTTATAGCAGTGGTCGGCACGGCCCTATCCCGAGGGCATAGGAAATTTCTCTGCCCGAGCTCTGCCACACACACAGTATTAATGTGTGAAACGTCATGCTCACAGCCTACTTTCTGCTATTCGTTACTAACACTAATGCGTTTAAACCAATGTATTGGGGTGCCGACCACTGCTTTATAGGGTCGCACATGTCTCTTTCACTGCGTTGCACACTTTTGACCAAAATTATAATACCCTCTGCAAGGGTATAAAAATTGTCTTCCCACTCCTAGAAATACCCACTAGGTTTCTAGTTTATAAATAATAAATTTTAAACTTAATTTTTTGGTGTCAATCGCGTTTCAAAATTAGAATAGTTTCTGTAAAGTTGACCTAAAGAACCGAACCTAATCTATTAGACAAATATAGTTCATATATTAAAATAAATTTTTTTCTTCTAATAGGGTGGCTGGTGGTGGAAGTCATGCGGTCGTGGATTAAATGGACTGTATCTGCACGACCCTCAAGATTTAACTGCTCGACAAGGAATTGTGTGGTTTCGTTGGAGGGGATGGGACTACACACTGAAAAAATCCACTATGATGATTCGCCCTAAGACACCGAACCCGCAGTTAACATCGTTCATTTAAAAACAACAACAAGAGATTAAATATCATATAGAGAATATTACATATTTAACTACTTCACAATTTTAAGAATAAGGTTCCATTACTGCGTTCATTTTTGTATATAATTTAGCTTAAACATGCATACGATTTTAGCATACGATTAAACTTTGTTAAGTTTTATTATTTTGAAAAACAAAATTTTTTTTCATGCTTACAAAACAAAATATATTTTTGTGGTCACCATAAAAAAATAATTGAGTGAAAAAATTTTAACATAATTCATGAGCGTTTAGTATTGCACAACAATAAAATATTTTTAACTTTGTGGCCTAAATAAATAAATAAAAATATAAAAATTCAGTAAATTTAAATATAAATATTAATATATAATATATATGTTTGGTCATTGAGCGTTTTCAATGCCGTAAATAAAAAGACGAATTTAATTACTTTTGAACGTTACAAATGTTTATTCCTGCATGCAGATGAAGCCGGATGATCCGCAGATAGACCAGCTTATGGTGCATGCAAGGAGTAAATACAATACCGAGATTTCAAGTAAATAAAGAGAGAGGGCGGCCCGACAAGTCACCTCGAGCTAAAGCTTTCGAAAGTGGAGAGGGCGGCCCGACCTAGACATTGGCGAGCTAAAACTCTCTATAGAAAACCCGTTGAGTCGAACGGCTGAGAGAAAGTCGGCTTGCGATCAACAAAGCTTTAAATAAACATTACACTAATCATTACACTAAACATTACATAAAAATTATTTAAACATTATTTAAACATAAACATTAAACGCCGTGCTGCTGCTTAACCCGACAATATATGTATTTCAAAATCATCATTTTATTGTTTTGAATATTAAAAGTTAGCATTTAGCATGCATTCTAGATCTGCATTAAAGTTTGAGCATACAGCCGACGGAAAATCTATTCGGCAATAATTTATTGACACCAAAAAAAATGTGCTAGTGTTATGTCGCTGTATCGCGGTCTCTCTCGGTCGATCCTCATCATCAAGCGATGAGCCGCGCCCCGCTTTACTTTATCGCTCGATCGTGAACCTTCCCATCATAATTTTAGATCGAACAGGTTTTTACTGAAAGGGAATTCTGAACTTCACAAATAAAGTTATGCATGCTTACGTGTATTTTTAGACGCTAGAATCCTTTGGTAAGGCCGGGCACCGGGCGAGTCCTATACATCTTCTCATTAAGCTCCACGAAGTGTGTGCACGTTTTTCTGGCCGCCCCACTAACTGCATTGCTACGTTTAACTTCAAAATATGTTTTCTTTTACATTTGCAGCTTACTTTTTATTTGGTCTCTGGATTGTGTCATATTTTTAGACTTCATCGATTCTGCGAGACCCCTGCAAACCAGCTTGCTTCGCTTAGTCTTCCCATCGAGCTTATATTATTTATTATTATTTTCCTTTACCAGGCCAAGCAGTTCGGTTATCTCGGCGTTTGACCAAACCGATCTCTAAGGCTTTAAACATAGTGCGCGCTGAGACGAAGACAAAGGTGAAAAGAAAATGAAGAAATCTATTTTTCATCCTCTTCAAACCTTCAAACACACGCCACCATAGCATTTTAACTCAATTTAAACTGGGGAAAAAAATCCTTCATCATTAAGTTAATACATTAATTCTATTTATGAGTGTTTTGTACAGTTATCAATGCCAAGAAAATGCAAAGGGGGTGATTTGAGCCGTGATACTAGTAGATCTCGAAATATGCGAAATAGAAGATACGAAAGAACCGAAGAACAAATCCAGCAACAAAATACTGATGTACGTATTAGAATAGCGCAATTGCATCAAGAAGAGCCAGAAGATACACGAGCTGAACGCAATGAACTCAGAAGATAATAACAACGACAATCACGCCGTTTCACAGTCAATAGACGCAGAACAAATGACCAACAACGACAACAGGTACATCGAGCATTTATATCTGATTCATTGCTTCATCTACCATTCCAGTATGTGCCTGATATTGAGTATTATGCTCACTCAAAAGTGGTAATTGGAGCTATGGACAAGGAATGTCCGCATTGTCATGCTCTGAAATTCAAAAATGAGCCAGCTAGGATGTGTTGCGCGTCAGGAAAAGCGACGACAGCGAAGAATTATATTTTCCCACAGAGTTTTTAAGCTTACTGGATTTGCAACCTTTACCTTTACTGGATTTTAAAGGTTGGATCTGCAATTATCATACCTCGTAATTTGAACCCGCCCCGACTGTGCAACGGGACGCGATTAGTCATTCAAAAATTAATAAATAACGTAATCGAATGCAGCATGGCATACTTTCGAGTGGGTAACCATCCAGCTTGTTTGTGTTGGCGAAACAAAAAATCTTGTTCACGCTATAGCACCAAAAGATTGACTTGTTGAATTACGATCAAGTAATAACTTAAAAATAATGTTTGCCTTTTGTTATTTTTATATTCCCTCATGGTTCACAGCGCTCCAGATGACTTTAAAATACATAAGTCTAGAACTGAGTAAATTTTGTACAGAAATAATGAAGTCAACTGGTGGCAAAACAACGTTTGCCGGGTCAGCTAGTATAGATATATATACATATTCAAAAATCGTTTATCTTCTTTTTGCGAGACTAACAAGAGGGGTATCAAATCTTATATTTTTAACTTAAATAACAGTTATATTGACTGATACAGAGTTAGACGGCCTTAAAAATTGATTGCTGGGCTTGGAGGTCGTTGCGTCTCAGGCGGGATACGCTAGAAACCCGTCAATCCCCGAGCGAGAAAATTTGGGTGCGAAGACAGTTTTTCTTTGTATGACTCTTTTTGCAGGCTTTCAGTTTTAGGTGCAACTTCTTGCATTCGATGTGCTTGCGCCAGGTAAGTCTTTTATCAAGATGGACGCCAAGGTACATTAGAGTCCCACAGCCAAACGCAAGGAGAGCGTAAAGAACAAGTGAGGACGGACGGTTTCAGGACGGTTCCTCTACAAGCCCAGGGTATCAGAGTCGAGTTGGGCCATTCCCGAACACGGCAGAGTAGCCTTGCAAGGAAGTGAGGAAAGTATAAGTCTGGCATTCGCCTTACCGACTCCTGAAATCGCAACCAACAGACGTGGTCCTGCGAAATAAGGATAGGCCGACTTGTGAACTCACGCCCAAGTGAGAGACCAAGTGAGAGCACTCCGGAGCTCCGGAGCACACGGAGAGCTCTAACACTTAAATGTCGAACTCTCCAAAGGCGGTCCTCCAACTCAACGCTATAAGCTTCCTAAAAAGTTTCGTACCGATTCGCTTTAATGAGCCTCCTTTTATAGCAACTTGGGTATTTTTGAAGATAGTAGCTTGGGACTTTTTTTTTTATTTTTTATTGAAATAAAATGGTTATATTTACCATAGATGCAACCAGACGGTAATTTTTTTCGTCGCGCTTGTTGGTGAGGGGGGAACGTAAGTGCAAACGATTTTATTTTTAAAATTAGTTTCTTACTAGTGAATTGATAAAAGAAATTTATTTTTTTATTTTTTATATCACTTATTCACTATTACAATTTATTGATAGGTCAATTGTTAATTCACTGCTCTTATACTTTTTTCAATTAGTTCTTCTGCTCGGTTCGGATCTCAAAAATAAACTCCCTCTTAATTCTAAAATCTTCTCCAACTAACTTCAGCCAGAAGCTTTTCTTTCTTAAGCTTCCAGAACTTTTCTTATTTCAATAAAAGCTTATGCTGAAACTGTAGCATCTGGTTGTGAAAATAAATTATGCTGCGCGATGCAATTTGATTGAAAATCGGAACGCAATATGATCTGAACTTAGAACGCAATTCTTTGGGCTTCGATCGTGAGAACGGAAGCTTGTGTTTACTTTACGATTGGTTTATTTATCTAGCAAAACGGTCAAGCACGGCTCTCGAAGCTAATGAAAAATTCTTGAAGGTAATAAAAAATTCAAAGGCAGTATTTTATACAAAGGCAAAGGCTATATAGCTGAGATTGAATTTTAAAATTTTTCTACTAAGTCCATAAGTAGAATCGTTTCATGGGTATGGTGTGTGCATGTGTCACTGCTTGCACGACAGCGTACAAATGTTTTGGCTTCCAAATTTCAATTTCTCATCGTTTCGGGTTACAATACGCCGATGTGATGTAGTAGTAGAACAAATAGTATTTTTGATCGTTACCACTCGAGTCAGGGTGGTAGAGCAGAGGTCGGCACGGCCCTATCTCGGGGGCATAGGAAATTTCTCTGCCCGAGCTCTGCCACACATACACAGTAAAAATGTGTGAAACGTCATTCTAAAAGCCTACTTTCTGCTATTAGTTACTAACACTAATGCGGTAAAATCATATCAATGTATTGGGGTGCCGACCACTGTGGTAGAGTAATGCATAGAGTAGTTGCTTTCTGTAAAATGATTCCAATGTTCCAATCCTACTTCGAACTTTTTATTTTTTTATTATTATTTTTAAGCTCTATCCTTATTTTTAGTATTTAAGAAAAAATTAAAAATCATGTCTGGTAAATAAATATCCAAGGGAGTCCTTCTCTTAATAAAATTAATAACAATATAATTATTTTAAAAAAAATTTTAATAGAATGCAATAAAAATTAAAGTTAATATTATAAAAATAATCATATATCTAAAATTCACTTATTAAAAATTGAGTCAACCTTACTCATAAAAGAAGTTATTCAGAAGATATTTCTGATCTCTTTGCTCTCACCAAAGATTATAAAGTACATAGATGGGACATCTCATACAAAGAAATATTTTTTATGGCGGGTTCCAGCAGTGGAACCCGCTGGAACGAGCGGGTTCCATTTTTATTCTTTTAATGTGTTTTCCTCAATTTATAATCCAATAAAAAAAAATACAAAATTGTAAAATTGTAAAATCACCTTAACATTGTCTCAGTTCGTAGTGGAACCCGCTGTAAAAATGTCTATTAGTGCGGGTTCTACGGCATTTTGGCAGGCTTAACATCTTTGGAACGATGAAAGTTTAAAACGTTGTAATCGAACCAATGTAAGAGTAAAGAGATCAGAAATATCTTTTACTATCCTTACTCGTCAGCTCTGTTTTTGATAAGGATTCTAGCGCCTCCTTTAAAACCAATTTTAAGTATCATCAAATCAACTTCGAGGGTAGCCTACATGGATAGTGCGCGGTCCTTATTCATGGGGTCCTGGGTTCGATTTCATTAGCTGGCGGTTCTTTCAATTTTGATAAAGTTTTAGTTTTATGATTCTTTTTATATTTACTTATATTTTTTTATTAACTTTTTTACTTTTAATTTTTACGTTATTATTATTCTATTACAATTGTTGTAAAAATAAATGTCAAAAAAATTCATGTCGGATGACAAAATGTCGGAAGGAAACCCTTGAAATTTTATTAGCTTTTATTAGCAAAACATAATGAAGAATAAAACAATTTTAAAATTGTAAAATTAAAGAAAAATATTACAATTAAAGAAAAATAACAAAAAAAAAAATAATTATAGTCCTTACGAGGATTTGAACACAAAAAAAATTAATCACAGATCTGCAACGATTTAATATACTATTTGTTCTACTATTTGTTGTAACAACCACATCGGCGCATTGAAAACAGAAACGAGAAATTTAAATTTGGAAGCCAAAACCTTTTTACGCCGTCGTGCGAGCAGTCACACATACTACATACAAAGGTTCACATTTTTGTTGACGGATACTACATGTATCTTAAGAGGATACATGTAAGAGTTCTAAAAATAGAATCGTATGCATGTGCGTTCCCCCCTCACCAACACGCGCGACGAAAAAAGTTAACCGTTTTGGGCCCTGATGTCCCATCTATGTTCTTTATAGTCTTTGCTCTCACACAGGTTCGGTGTGAACGTTTCAAAGTTCCATTATTCCAAAGATGTTACTTTCTAAAAATGGAATTGTCTCTTTCCCTCTCTCATATTTCAGCCGTTTGTCGTTTGTTGGGTTTCACTTCAAACTGAAACAATGTTAAGGTGATTTTAAAATTTTTTATTTTTCTTGATTGTATTATAAATTTTGGAAAACACTCAAAAATAAAAATAAAAATAAAAAAGAATACAAATAAATGAAAAAAAAAAAGTTGATGTCGAGCCTGATGACTCCGCACGTCAGCCAAGCACTCTACCACTCGGCTATCTCTCGTTCGTTGTTACGCAAAAAATTTCTTAAACCTTACTTGTCGCGCTGTGGAACCCGCCATGGGAACACTTTTGTTCGTGTCCGTGTTCTGTCTTTCGATTTCTGCCCTTGAGGCGAATATTGATCACATCATTAAATGTTTATATTTATTGATTTGATAATATATTGTCTGACGAGATTATAATTATTATACAAATTACATTCCTTAGTGATGTTTTAGGACTTAGTTCAGATTTTTTAACCATTTTAGATATTAAAAAATTTACTTTATTATTGAACTACATTTTTAGTTTGCCCAGAAACAACTAAATCACGCAATGACAAAATATATTTGCCGCTGCATTTCTTATTTTCTTATTCGACATTCTTAAAGCAGAACGAAGGATGGGAGCACTTGCCCCGTTGTCACGGCCCTTGAGGCGCGGTGGCCAATTCAACAAATGAATTTACAAATAAACGGCAGTGCCGGAGATTGGTTTTATGGTGCTCTTTATTGTATGAGACTCTGACACAAACTGAAACTTAAAGCTAACAAAAAGTATTTCATAGCGGCCACGCAAATGTGCAGTGCTTGCCGCTATGCATGGGCTTCCGGTCAGACGCTGTGTCAGCAGTTTGGCCAGAGCGAGCTCTTAAATAATCGGACATTGCCACTGCTCGGTTAACTTCAGTTAACTACTCCCCCTTCAAGAATGAGGCCGCCCTCGGCCGACCCTATTTGTGCAATCATCTCCTTCAGCTGGGCCGCGGTTTTTCGGGCCTGAGTGACTCGCCGATAGGTCAAGCCGATGCCAATTAAAGCGCAGCATATTGCTCCCGCTATGAACACCAACTAATGTAACTGATGGTGGTTAATCTCCTTCCCGAACTCTTTGATGTGCTCCAGATTACGTTCACTCAGTCGGTGAAGGTAAGGAAGGCTAAGAACGTTACGTTCCATGGTGACGTTCAGGGAAGGTGAGCTGGCCACTCCTGGAGCCCTCTTCTGGGCTGTGTCATGATTGACCAATCGGGTTTCGTTGACAATGGCACTCTTTTCAAAAGTGATAAGATATGTGCCCTTTATATGAACACAGGTGCCATTATCCACACACACGTGAGCCGAGTGATCATTTACAATTACTATCCCTTCA